GGCGGGCGGGCGGGGGCGCTGAGCGGCGCAGGGACGCCTCGGTCGGGACGGTGTAAGCGGCGGCTGGAAGCGGATCGGGGGCTGCTCAGCTGCCGGGGGAGCTTTGTTTTTGTAAAATCTAATTTTCCAGTTCTTACTCTGCTGCTTTCGTGCGGAAACGGGGCTACAACCCCAGCGGGTCAGGCCTCCCTGTGACTCCTCAGGCGGATGCTAGGAGCACCCAGTCCAGGGGGGCTAGTTGGTGTAGTGACCCTCTGACTTTCTTGCTCTGATTTCCCTTTAGTCCTGCTTTGACTGTGGTGCTAATTTTTGTAAAATCTAATTTTCCAGTTCTTACTCTGCTGCTTTCGTGCGGAAACGGGGCTACAACCCCAGCGGGTCAGGCCTCCCTGTGACTCCTCAGGCGGATGCTAGGAGCACCCAGTCCAGGGGGGCTAGTTGGTGTAGTGACCCTCTGACTTTCTTGCTCTGATTTCCCTTTAGTCCTGCTTTGACTGTGGTGCTAAGAATCCAAGCTGGGCCAGTATTTCCTATGGCGTATTCCTGTGCATCGACTGCTCTGGAGTCCACAGGTCACTGGGTGTGCACCTAAGTTTCATCAGGTTTGTATCTTTAGTACAAGAGTATTGTGAGGAAGGGAGAGATGTTATGATCTGTAAATCAAGGATACCTTTGCTCACAACAATTGCTTAGCTTATCCTTATTGGAATTAACTGTGGTTTGATTAGCAGGAGGACTTCTGTCAATCAGGAGGCACTTTAGTCTCAAAAGTGCTCAATTTTTTCTATATAGCTTACTGAATGTGTAACACTTTTAATTTGGCTCTCAGTTCTGTTAATGTATGAAAGTTTAAGAAGAAACTCAGTGAAATAGTTCTTAGAGCACCTGTTTGTTGCTTGCATTAACCTTGTGGGATGAGCATATGAAGTATTCTTGTGTAAGAGCTGAAATACTAGTGAAGAATTTCAAGCCTTTCCTCCCTATCAGTAAGAGGGTAAATGAAGGGTGAAATTAGAGCTAAGATGATAAATAGGTGGTGGAAATGGGTAGACATAAGTGGTGTCGTCGTGGTTGGAAAATACCAGTAAGGTTAGAAGAGAAAAATCTTTTTAAATGGTGGTCTGTCCAGTTTTAACATTTGATGCTTAGTGTGGGGCAAGAAAGAAGAAAAATTAGCAAATGATCTGTTCCATAGGAATGCAAATGTTGATAAGGAAGAGTGATGTAAAGAAGAAAGGTCATGTCAGGAAGATGTGTGTGAGAGATTTACTTTCTCAAAGTGAGACCCATGAGCGAAAGAATGAGGGGGTGCAGGCTCAGAGGGTTTGGCTGGGTAAAGTGCAGACTTGACAACTATATGTGTAAGAGAGTCCAGCAAATCAAGATCTGCCCAAAGAGTATGGTATGTGAGAGGGCGTGACACTGCATAGAATATCCAGAATACTTTAGAAGGAGAGTGCTCATAGCGCACATGCCATTTGATGGTGTTACCCGATGGAGGAAGAGTGAGAGGTGGTTATGTAGTGAGCCAATCCAGATCAACCCCAGTTAGGTAGGTCATCACTGAACATTATTATGTGCCATTTTGTTTGTCTCAAATAAAAGGATTCCCACCCTACTAGTCATGCTGTCATAAGCTCTGTAGGACAGGGACTGTCCCCCTTTGTTAGTCTGTGCAGTGCCTAGTGCAGTGGAGTCCTTGTTGATGGTTGGAGTCTCTAGGCCTGAGTGTAATTGAAGTGACTGACTATTAATCCAGATTTTCCCACTTCTTCCTGTTACTCTTTGCTGTTTATACCCTTTGAATGTTTACAGACTGATTTCCTCTTATGTCATCTCTTAACTATACTAGGCAGATTTAGCTCTTAATCTTTCTTAGAACTCAAATTCAGCTCTTGATCACTGTATTGCTGTTCTCTGATCTGCATCCAGTTTGTCTTTTTAGCACTTGAATGCCAGAACAGAAGGTAATATTTCAAGGGCAGGTGCACATGTACCTGAGCCATAGAAGACAGCTGTTTTCTCTCGGTTTACTGTTATGACGCCTCAGCACCCTTTTTTGGATTGCTATAGTGAGTGATACTCCTGTTGAATTTGAATTTGTCAACCTGAGAGGGTCTACTTTCCAGGTTTCTCTCTCTATTTAGTATCTGCGCCAGCATGTTTCCCCTGATGTGTATTATCTTCACTTTCAGAGCAGAGTCTTGTTTTGTCATTTTCAGTCCATGTTCATAACCTTCCTAGATCTGTTTTTGTTGCATCTACGTACTACCAATAGAAATGTCGTAAACTCATACCTGTTTCTCTGGGCCCTGTGTTAACATCCAGATGCTCAGTGTGTGATTATGGCACTCTCCAAAACAGATATGTTCTGCCCTTTGGAGGACTTAACTGTCATTTATTGTGATGGTTGAATAAGTCCCTTGTTGTGAGATCCACATTTATCTGATCTCTGACTTTCATCCAGGTTCTGGACTGTAGCTAATATCGCTGCATGCTTTTTAGTATATGATGGGAGTGTGGCTCTCACTCTTCATCCTACTGCTAATGTTTGTGCTAGTATGCAATGCCCTTTTAGTTTGAGTAGTGCTTTTCCTATGACATGTAAACCCACCACTGTGCTTTAAAACACAGCAGGATGGGCTGAATTATGTGTGCCTTGTGTAGTGTAGTAGGATCAGTTCCAGGAGAACAGAAGATGTTGGCTTGGATCTCCCACGGAGTGCAATACCAGTGGGAGACATTTTCACATGGGCATTCTATGTCCAGTGTGATGAGCAGACTAGTGACATCAATGACCATTACAAACTCCTCTTCGCCTCCCACCCAGTTACTGAAGTTAAGAAGAAAGTCTATTGGCATCCCACATGGTTCCAGAATGATGTGATGAAATTGGAGTGGGATGTCCGGCTCTGGCTCTGTTGGCTGCTGGCATGCTTCTGAATCCTGGAAACCTACATCATCTTGATATAGCTGATTTGTTCTTGTGTAGGTCTACAGAACTGGATTCAAACTGGAGCTGGTTCCAACTGAGGTGTATGCAAGTGGGCAGCAATGCTAATGCGGTGAGGAATTTCTATAGCATTTTGTTTGGTTTCCCTTTCAGTTGTAGGCATTCTCTGCTCACTGTGTACCTACCTCCTCCTGACATGGCTTTCTTGGTTCCTGGGCAACATTTCTTCTCACTGTTTTGAAGATGCGAAGGAGGGGAGAGGCACTTCCATTTTCCATCTCCAGTTAAAAGGTCAGACCCTGGTGGAGATTAGAGACTCCTGAAATGTAGGTCTTTTGTTTTCCTAGATTTTCCTTAGATGAGATCTGCGTGGAGGGATTGGGGGGGTTTAAAGGAGTTCTGCTCAGTAAGCACTTAGAAGCCCCTACCTCATGCCATGCCTCATTCAGATGCACTTCTGCCTGGGAAGAGTTGGTAATGTGTTCTTGAATCTCTGAGTCCTCGAGTAGCAAGAGGTGAAAGCAGAGTTGAACAGTAGCTAGTTTATTTCTAGGGGGGGATGCTTTACTTCCCCTCCACTCCTTATTCTATGGGAAGCTCTCTCCTGCTACTGCTGCTCTCAGGTTGGTTACTGATGTTTGATGCTTGTGGGAGTTTGTCTTGGCTCCCTATAGACTGATTATTTGCTTTTCCTCAGACTGCCTTCTTCCGCCAACATGGCTGCACCACCACAGATGCCAATGCCAAGTATAATAGCAGAGCTGCCCAGATGTACAGAGAGAAGATCCGGCAGCTGGCGAGCGCTGCCATGGCCAAGTATGGCACCAGTGTAAGTGCTGACCAGCCTGTACCACCGTGGGGAAAAAAACATGATGCTGATTGCTGAGTCCTATGTGATGTCGTCTTCATTTCAGCTTCTGATAGATGGATTGAGTGGAACCCCAGGCCATTCCCCCGAGAAGAGTGATGCTGACTTCTTCATGGAGCACACTCAGGTGAGACAAACCAGCTAGATGTGGCTTTCTGTTGAAAGCTGCCTTGTCAACTTGCAAGGAGTCTGCTTTCACACCTAGGGTATGTCTAGACTACATGCCTCTGTTGGCAGAGGCATGTAAAATAGGCTACCCGACATAGTCAGTGAAGCAGGGATTTAAACATCCCTGGCTTCATTAAAATAGCACTGCAGTCAAGACAGGGATCAGTCGACAGGGAACACCTTTGTCGACCGCTCCTGTAAACCTCGTTTCACGAAGCATAAGGGAGCGGTCGACAAAGGCTTCCCCTGTTGTCCGATCCGCATCTTGACTGCCACGCTGTGCCAACAATCAGCTGAGCCGGCACAGCACGGTGGCCATTTTTAATTTTAATGAAGCTGGGGATATTTAAATCCCCGCTTAATTGACTGTCGGGTAGCCTATTTTACATGCCTTTGCCGACAGAGGCATGTAGTCTAGACATAGCCCTACTTTGCATGAAACAAAGCTGACTGCAACTGTCCTCAGTAATGATATGGAGCCACAGCCTGTGAAGACTATAGTTGCCAGTTTACAGAATGGTCCAGGAGTGGAGTATTGCAGAGTGAAACCTCTGTCTCCTGCCACTCTGCATTATAGATGGACATCTTTGAGCACCAGCAGAGAACTCTGTCAACTTGTTTGGCCTATAGGCCTTGTTTTGGCCAGGATTTTTCTACATAGGCTCTTTTTTAGACTGTTATGCCAAGTAGGAACTTGGGTGCAATCATCCCTGCTGATGGGAGGCCCAGATGTGTTAGATTCAGGCCATGCTTATACGGTGCAGGTGAGTGGAGGAAAATGGGAATCCTACCTGAGGAATGTACACAGCTTTCCAAAGAGTCTTCTACCCTCCCCCAGAAAGTCAGGTGGGATTAGTCTCTCAAATATGGACATCTTAGTTTAAATTGTGACGGAATCCCCTGTTTTTCTTCCCTCTTGAATGAGACTGTCCCTTTTGTCTCTCTCCTCTCCTCCCCCCCCCCCCCCCCAAATCCAGCTCAACTCTGTTCTCTCCACTGGTTTCTTGGAAATTTTGAAGAAAAGCTGACTGCCCCTTAATGTGATCAGGGTTTCCAGAGAAGCCATTGTATGTGCAATTTGGGCACATTATCCTATTTTGATCTATAGGTGGGGGGAGTCACTGTTCACCTGAGGTGGGATTGCTAACAGTACTGGATCATTCATGCCTTTAAGACTCATTGCAGCACATTTCAACCTTTAAGCCTTCCAGTACCTGGGATGTGGCAGAGGCCGGTCAGAATCCAGCATTGTGCTCACTGGAGTCTGAAAGAGCAGCAAAGCCATTGGAAACCAGCGAAATGCCACGTGAGTTCACTGCAGAATAGCTTCTCTTGCAGCAAAGAATCTCACGGGGCTGGGGTTGGAAAGGTTCAGATTTTCTCTTGCTCCCTGCATGGACCGTGAGTGAAGATTCCATGCAACATAGTGCAGGAGACCTAGTGAAATAGATATGTCTGAGAAACCCGTTCTGCTCTCGGATCACAGATACTGTGCAGTTGTCTGCCCTCCCTGCAGCCTGTGTTTGACTCTGGGTTTGCCTGTCCTGTGGTCTTGGTACCTATTTGCAGACCTCATAATCATTTCTACTGCAGCCTTCTGCATTGTCCCTCACAATAAATGGGGTCTGCATATGGGATACTTGAAACTAGGGGCAGGGGAACTTACAGAAATCCTGTTTTTAGGCTCATGTTTCAGGGGTAGAAGGGAGCCACAAAGAATCAGGGATGTGGAAGAAGTGCGGCATCCTTAAAAGAGCTTCATACATTTCCCGAAAGCTAGTGGTGCTCAGCAGTTTCTTGACTCATTTAATGTAGAAATTTTTAGAAGGAGTAACTTAGGATATGTCTAGACTACATGCCTCTGTTGCCAGAGGCATGTAGATTAGGCTACCCGGCATAGGAAAATGAAGCGGATTTAAATTAAAATGGCTGCCGCGCTGAGCCCATCAGCTGTTTGTCGGCTCAGCGCACTAGTCTGGATGCTCCACGGTCAACATCAAAGGCATTTGTCGACTGCCCCGGTATGCCTCGTGGGATGAGGTTTACCGGGGTGGTCGACAAATGCCTTTGATATCGACCATGGAGCATCCAGACTAGCACGCTGAGCCGACAAACAGCTGATCGGCTCAGCGCTGCAGCCATTTTAATTTAAATGAAGGGGCGATTATTTAAATTGCCGCTTCACTTTCCTATGCCGGATAGCCTAATCTACATGCCTCTGGCAACAGAGGCATGTAGTCTAGACATACCCTTACTGAATGAAGACCCTAAGTCAACTACTGTGAAGAGTCACATTTTCTCTGCAGATATTGCAGCATTCTGAGACATCTGGAATGCATCTGTTAGCGGCAAAAGCACTGAGAGTCCCCTGTCAGAGGAGAGAGGCGATTAATCTGTAACCATCTTTCCTCACTGTAGTCTGACTGCTCATCTTGTCTCCATAGAGTCAAACCAAGGCCCATCTATTGACCTGTTGAGCTCATCTCCTAAAGCACCTCTGGGTAAGTGTGAGAGCCTTCTAGTTTCTCCTACGTCAGTGCCTCTCCTCTCCTTGGGAGTGAGCCTTTCTTGTTTGTTTCTAGTTGTCTCTGGGCTTAGCAGTGTAGCTGTCTGTACAGCTTTTCTCCAGTGAGATCAGTAGAGCTGAAACTGGCTTGACTCCATTCTTAATTCTGTAATAGGAATTTATCCTCCTGTGGAGTCTGCCCTTGGGGATCTTGTTGTTGGCTCTCATTAGGTTACCCAGAGGCCCAGGCTCTGCAGCCATTGATTCTGCTCTGTGTATTGGAAACCTCTTTTCCCCATTCACCCTCTCCACCCAAATTTAAACATGCATCTCATTCCCAACAGCTGTTCCTGTTGTAGGGTTTAGCATAAGTGCCTGGAGCTTGACTGTCCAAGGGCCATGCTGGTAGCTTTCTAGGAACCCAATGACAGCATGTACCCTTCAGTAGGGGTGTGTGGTCGACAGTGATGGCAGGTCCCACTACGCTTTCCCCATCTGGCTCTGTAGTGTGTGGCCAGAGCCTGCATCTCCCTATTAGGAAGCGTATGTGCTCCTGGCCTGCGCTGCGCTCAGGCCTGATGTAAATCTTAACCCTTTTACTCCTCGTGTTTGTTTCTATCCTCAGACGCATCCATGTGTCTGTCTGCACAAGTGCCTGCTCCTGCCAGAGGTAACTGGCTAACAAATAGCCTGCACTGGCTGCTTGTGGACCCTTTGCTTGCCCCCTTCTGTGATTCTGCCTTCAGGCGTAAACTTGGCTTCCTGGGCAGCAGAGTACATGCAAACTTCTGCTCCCAAAGAGGCAGATTCCAGGTGGAAGGAAGGATGGATGGGGGAAGCTGTTGGTTCTATGTTCCATTGGGTTGAGGACCCATCCTGCAACATAGGGAGTGTACTAGGGTTGTAAGCGATATGCCTAGGCAACAGCATGGGGGGGGGGAGAGCAGGAAGAGGCTGCTCTGGCAACAGCCCATGTCTATGGGGGGGTCCCAGAAAGGAGTTAGAACCCCCTCATGGATAAGGGCTGCTGTCGCCAATTGGGCAGGCAGCCTGGCTCAGGGACCCCCCCCATGGATGGGGCTGCTGCTGGCTGGACAGGCAGCCTGGTTCAGTCTTGGCTCATGTTGGCACCAAACCCTGTTGTGGCTCTGCAACTTAAAACACAGTAGGAACCGGGCAGCCTCCATCTACTGCTGCGTTTTAAATTGCAAAGCCGCAGTGGGGTTTGATCCTGGCGCAAGTCAGGGGAAAGCAGCCTGGCTCAGTCCTATCAACTAATTGAATAGTCGATTAAAAATTCTATTGACTACTCAAGTAGTCAAATAACTTCAGTTATATACTGAAGGGTACATCCCTTGTGTGTGCAGCCAGCTTCCTGGGCACAGTGGGTCAGTGTCCCTTGACTACTCAAGTAGTCAAATAACTTCAGTTATATACTGAAGGGTACATCCCTTGTGTGTGTGTGTGTGTTCCTGGGCACAGTGGGTCAGTGTCCCTTCCAGAGGTCTCCCTGCAACCAGGGGCACAACTGTGTTGCCTGCTGCTTAGACTCTTGGCTTTTTGGATGACTCTCCCTGAAGAGTCCCTCTTTCCCCACCTCTCCCTTGTGCTGCCTTTCTTTCTGAGGTGCTGCTGGAGCTCTCCCACCAGACAGACAATCTTTGTCCATTGACCCTAGATACGGGACATCTGCCGCATGACATGTTACCTATTAATACCACCACAGCTTCCCACAGAGTGAAATGCTCCTGTCCAGACCCATAGCCCATTTGCCAGGAGCTTCTTATTCTTCATTCTGGTCTCAGTGATTCGTTCTTGGCTGGGTGGAGTCTCCCAGGCAGTGGTGTGAAACTGCATGATAGACTTTTTTGTGGCTGGACTGAATTTTTGTGTGTGGGCTGCCGCCTGGGCTGTTCTGTACTAATCCCAGCTTGTTGTGTTTTCACTCCTGCTCACTCACCCCTTCCTTCCTGTTCCAGAACTAAAATCTTCCCTTATTGGAAAGAAGAAGCCAGGCACTGCCAAGAAAGGGGTATGTCTGAATTCCTGTTACAGGGGACTCTCCTTTGCACCTTATGGATCCCTGCTTTCCTTCTCCTGATCATGGCTTGTTCCCTGTCACCTAATTTTTCTATCTTTCTTGAGGCTGCCTCTGAACCTGGCCCTCTTTCTGAGGTGTCTGATGCCTGCTGATCAAACCTTTGCTTTCTGCCTCATTACCCAATTGATGGGGCTCTGTTGTACCTCTGCACACAAAATGCCTTGCTAAGCTGAAGGCAGTGAAGCTATGTAGCTTTGTGGTATTGTATGAGTACCACAGGTGAACCCAGAGCTCAGCTTGCTAATCCCATAGTGCATTGCACAAGTAGTTCAATTCACTCTCCTGGGTGCTTTCCCTCTCCTCTGAAGTATCAGTCATTTGCTGCTCTGTGGCATGGGACACTGAACCAAAAAAGCTGAATGCCTGTTGTGCTGGGTATTTTTGATGATCCCGGAACTCCCTTGAGCATCTTAGGGACAAATTCTCATTCTGGTCTGTTTTATCTAGCTGGGTGCAAAAAAGGGGCTTGGAGCCCAGAAAGTGAGCAGCCAGAGCTTCAGTGAGGTAGAGCGACAGGCCCAGATGGCTGAGAAGCTGAGGGAGCAGCAGGCAGTGGAGTCAAGGAAACAAGCTGAGGAGTCCATGTGAGTATCAAGCACTCAGGAAACCATAGTCATGGGCTGAATACTTGCTTGCCATTACAGTGAAATTGGCTTGTTATTGATGCTCTCCGTCCTGAGGGCTTTTAGACTGTAGGTGCTGCACAAGCAGTGAGGCAACTCTCTGGGCAGGTAACCTGAAGTAAGAGTCACCCCTATAGCAGGGCAGATGCTGCATTGCTCTGACTGTTTTTGATTCAGTGTCTCAGGGTAAGTAGATGTGGAAGTTCCCTGTTGCTCCATAGATCCTGGGTCTGTTCCACTAACTTTGTATTTTTGGGTCTGATCCAAAGACTGGGCTGAGATCAAGACCTGCTGTTCGTGCTCAGAGACTTTGTATGCTAATTAAAACTTGTCTTTTATAAGAAAGTGAACGTGATATGAAATCCTAATGTAGATCAAGCCATGTTGAGAACTACAGCATGCCTCTTCTGTGCTAGGGTTTTACAATGTGATTGCTTTATTGTTGCATAAATCTACCTTTCCCAGCGTGGACATGGCCAGGATGATATATTTCCCCCACACTAATCCTCCGCAGTATACACCTTGGGGGAGAGGTGAACTTGTATCCACTACTGTTGTTTCCTGTAGAGTCACTTCAATGCGACTGGCCTATCAGGAGTTGCAGATCAATCGGAAGAAAGAGGAGAAGAAACTTCAGAACTTGGAAGGGAAGAAACGCGAACAAGCTGAGAGACTGGGCATGGGATTGGTGTCCAGAAGGTATTTATTTTGGGGATGAGTCTTTCCTGCAGCAAAGTATATCTGGGGGTGCTTTGCTCTGGCTTAGATTAGTGCGGGAGCCTCCTGCCATCTTAACAGAGAACTGTGTGAATTATGATTCAGCATGCCAGTGTGATGAGCCATGTCTAGAATCTCTCATCCCTGGAGAGGATGCGGTGGGCCCTGTGCTCTCTGCAAAGCCTGGCTCTTTATAAATCTTCAGCCCCTAGACCTTATTGGTAGCATTTGCCATCCTGCAGCATCATTGAGTTATGGAGAGATGAAAGATTACTTGGTATCTCAGACCAGCAGATTCTGAGGTGGAGTTGAGTATGTCCATTTGCACCATTGGATGCAACTGAGGCCAGGCCCTGATGATTCAGGATTGTTAGCACCCTCATCTTAGCAGGATGCTGTAAGGTTGGGTGGCTGTTGCCTCCCTTTTGTTGGGGGTTCCTGACGCCTGAGACTTGACTTTCTGCCTTGTTGTTAGTTCTGTCTCTCACTCCGTGCTGTCCGAGATGCAAGTGATTGAGCAGGAGACACCAGTGGCTGCAAAATCTTCTCGCTCCCAGCTGGACTTGTTTGAAGATGCTGGAGGCTTCGCATCTGGACCCCCTAAGTAAGGCTGAGCCTCACTGTGGTCTTTAGCTTAGTTCTAGGTATCCTATATCTGACCTAGAGTCCCCTCTGCTTGGTCCCTAGGTACAAAGATAATCCCTTCTCACTGGGAGATGCCTTTGGCTCACGATGGGAAACAGACTCCTCCTGGGGTGTCGACAAAGGGGAAGAGGAGGCGGCAACAGTAACTATCTCCAGCATCCGGCCCATTGGAGAGAGGTAAAGGGTAACATCTCACTGTTGCTGGAGCTCAGACTCTGAATCCGAGGGGCAGGGCCATATAGCAAAGTGGGAACTCGGCTCGTGTCCCAGGGGAGCCAGGCTAATGACAGTGTCTGTGTCCAATCACAGATGATTAAACCCTAGGTCCACAAGCCTGTCCCATGCTATATGCTGTGAGTAGGATCTGTGGAAACTCATCTCCATGGGCACAGCAACCAAAAACAAAATAAGGCCCATGGTGTGTGTCTCAGAGCAGTCCCTTCACTAAAACAGAAAGTACCCAGTATTTGCACTGGCGCCTTAGTGAAAGAGACTCTGGCCATTGACTCACCTAACAGGGGAATCCATGGCCTAGTGGCACAATGGGAACTCTTGTACTGATTTCAAGGACCAAAAGAATTAAAGATGTTATATAAAATTTCCACTGTCCAGCATTAAAACAGTGATATTTAAGTTTAGAGACACTTTATACAGAGGCCTTGGTTTCGCTTGTCTCCTCGGCAACCACCCAAAACCGTTCATTCTGATGTTGGGTTTCATTTCTGAACTTTCAAGAAATTAGAACAAGCATTTCTAGTGAAAATGGAATTGTGTGGCTATTCAAAAACTTAATTAAATCTATTAACACTTTTTTTTTTTTTAGGCAAAATATCAGTCTCTTGCTTTCAAAGCAACCCTTTTTCATCAAAAAGGGTTGCTTTGATTTGAACTCTGTGCTGTGGTGTAAAGGATATGTACTTCAGCTGTTTCTAATAAACAGGCATAAGATGGAGGAAACAGGGATAGAAATGTGGGGAAAATACAGCTACTGTTGAAATTTGGAACACTGAATGTCTGGTCAATTATGAATTTGTGCTTCGACTATTTGGCTGACCATGGTACCTGTTGCTTGGACCCTCATTCATGTTCCCATAAGGGATGTCTTCTGGCTAGGTCTTGTTTCCTTAGGGCAGGATTGTGGTCATCTCGTTTTGCTGTGCTGATGCAGTGTAGTTGATTTGATGAAAAGCCAAGAGAGTGAGAGGGAGGATGGAAGGAAGGAAGGGGAGACAGAAAGAAACACATAAGGAAGGCAAGCAGGACAGGATTTGCAAGTGAAAAACAAAGTTCCTTAAATAAGAACAAGGCCCTGTTGACCTTTCTCTAAGAAGAAAATCTTTCAGTTTAGTCTGTTCCTTCTGAGTGAGGGTCAGGGAAGATAAGAATAAATGAGACCAGTTGGGACAGGAGAATGATTTGTTTGTTTTCAGTCTGTCTTTAAGAAGACACCCAAAAGGGAGAAACTAGGTGGCATCGTTCATTCTCTTCCCACTCGTGTCCCACCAATTAAGGCTACTGTGCACCACATCAATTTTGGATCATTAACTTACGGCTCTATCTTCTGTTTTATTACCAAGCAGGGTATCCGCAGTCCCTCTTATTTTGCGTAATTAGGTTTCTCTGGTTCTCTTATCCTCATTTAATAACACTCATTGTTGAAAACAACTTGATCTACTTTCCATAGTTACTTTTCAAGCAGGCAAAAAGTTGAGTTGTGAACTTACACAACCTTTTTATATTTGAGCTGTATTGGGAGTAAATTTTTAGGCCTATTAATCACAACAGAACCTTGTGACCACCAGTCAAGCTCCGCTTTGCTAAACTGTCCTTCCATAGTGGGATCGGCAGTGTCTGCTCCCTGTGGCTTTGTAGGTATGATTTGAGCATTGTAAAGCGTTAGAATAGCAGGGCTGATAAGCTGCCTTCATTGCTGCTTCAGTGAGCACAAGGGTTTAATGAGGTCTCCTGTCCCATCTCCCTCAGACCCATCAGTAGGAGGGAGACAGAGAGCAGGACATCTTCAGTGGAATCAAATGAAGCTCGGCAGAAGTTTGCTGGGGCCAAAGCCATCTCATCAGACATGTTCTTTGGCCGAGAAGCAGATGCTGAGGTAAATGCCACACTTATCCCCTGCACTGGCCTTTCCTGCTGTATTTGGGCTGGTACTTATCTTCTGGCCTGACCCTTTCCCATCCTATTGCAAGTCCAGTTTCATCCCTTTCTGTAGTAGCTGAGTCTTCTGCTTTCTCCTTTAATACAGTATGAGGCCAGGTCTCGATTGCAGCAGCTCTCCGGCAGTAGCGCCATCAGCTCTGCAGACCTCTTTGGTGAGGCTGAGAACACGCACTCAACAGGTTTGTTTAAAACCTAGCTAAGGGAGGGAAGCAGGCAGACAATGGCAGACTCCTGGATCTGAACTTAGAAGGTTCATGGCTGAGGGACTGACATGGAGCTGAGTAATGGTCCCTTGTTTAGCAGAACATGTTGGGAGGGGGCGTTTCTTATCCTTAGGTCTCAACCCACTCCTTTTGCTGGCTCTTGGCAGGAAGTGTGTCAATTGGGAATGTTTTGCCTGCAGCTGACATCACCCAGTTCAAGCAAGGAGTAAAATCTGTTGCTGGCAAGATGGCAGTTCTAGCCAATGGTGTGATGAATTCTCTGCAGGTGAGGCAAGGGTGTTCCTCATTGGGGTCAGGGGAGGGGATCTGAGCATCCTACCTACTGAATTGAATTTGTATCCTCTAGATTTTGGCCTCCTATCTCTTGTCCTGTGCATATGCAGAATGGTTTGCCCTCCAGTAGCTGACACCGTTGTATGCCACTGTAGTAGTCTGTTTCGGGGCTGATTTCAGTGCACCTTCTTGTACTGGTGCAGAACACCCTTTATAGCCCTAAGGTTTCCTTCCTTGCCATAGTGCATCTCTGCACAGAGCCCTCCAGGGTGGGGATGCTTTCCTCTGACCTACCCTTTAGCCTGACATCCCTAAGGCTTGTGATTAGCCCTGTGCTGACCTCTCTCTCGAGTCCCTAGGAATGTTAAGCTTCTCAGAGTGTCCCTATCTTCGTCTGTGTCACCATAACGTGAGTGGTTGGGATAGTGACTCAAGGTATGTTTCTTTCCCCAGGATCGCTATGGCTCATATTGATGGTCCAGGGACTGCAACTCGAGCAAATGGAATCAAGAGGCACCAATCTCACCTTGAGTTGCCTGGAGTTATGCTGCAGGATTCTATTTTAATTTGTCTGGGGCAGAGGGAGGTGAGGTCAACAGAAACAGAAGGGGATAAGGAGATGCTTATGGCCAACATTGTGTCCACATAGTTCTGGAGTCTGGTCTGTATTAGAAACCAATATGCCCTCAAACCAAACCTTCATCTACTAGGATGGGAGGCCTTGTCCCAAATCCCATGTTGCTCTGAACTGAGAGGGAGGTGGAGGTAGCTCCAGCTCTCATTGGCCTGTAGCTTGTCTCAGCAAGTAACTGTGTCTAGGGAGCTCCCATTTGTCTCCTCTCTTCAGGCCTACAAGAAAATGACTTCAGCCATGTGTCTTGCTGAGTGCTGCCACCCCTTCCCATGCACAGGCTAATGTGTTGGGGAGGGAAGCTCCAGTCAGTCACCACATGACAGGAGTGCTGGGAAATGCTGTGGGGGGGAAAAAAACAGACTTTCCTAGTACCTGCAGGAAGCTGTTTTATTAGTATAGTAAGTGAAAGCATCTGCCTTCTGTAAATCAAGTCACTGTTACTGTTTCTGTAAATCACCATAGATAGACTAACCTCCTCCCCACCCCCCAAAAAAAACCAAACAAACCCCAAGAACTTACTTAGATTTGATACATCAGGAGACCGAGTTTAGGCCTCAACTTCAGAGGGAACTGAGCAATGCAGAGGCTTCTGCAGGGTAGGTGTAGAAGCGCAGAATGCCTTATTTTCTGTTGTTCAGCTTCTTCCAGCAAAGCTGAGGCTGTCAAAACGTTGCCAGTTTTGGTTGGACATGTTCCTGGAAGCTTCATCACATGACAATATTTCATTAAAGATTAATTCCAGGGCTCCAGGACAATCTTGGAGGGTTGGTAATCCTTTGCTGTGCTTGAGGAACAGATCAGAGCCTCATGGGGGTGGGGATCAGAGGGAAGGAATTGAAAATTTGTCTAGTTTCAAAGTACCTTGCCCCTGATGGCGCACTGCTCCTGACCAGGAAGTGTCTACAGTGTTAATACCGATAAGTCTCCCTTAAAGGAGGCCCTTGAGGGCTAGGCTGCAGCAATGGGGAAAAAAGGGCTCAACACTTACAAATGAAAACTAAAATTTTGTGTGGAAATAAGAGGCAGTGGCCATTTGTGCTGCTCACTCAGTTTCCACTCAGAGCAATTCAGCCAGGATAGCTCTGCTTGGGCTAAGTCTCTTAGCTATGGTGGGCCTCCCAGAGTGGTTTGCACTGGCTTATTGTGCTTGAGTTCATGCCCCAGCCCATCTCTGGTTTCATGTGTCTTGTATACACTGAGATGGAGCAGCTCTTGGATACCACATAGGCTGGACCCTGTTCTTCCCAGCACAAAGGCTCTGGCCTTTTCCTTTCTGAAGTCACTTTAGCTGAGTAACTCTGTAGGTAGAAGAGGCAAAGGGCATTCCCCTTGACTTTGCCTCCCAACAATGCTGCTTTGATGCCCAAGTAGCAGGGGCATGTCACCAGCCATGCACATAGTGCAGAGTATGCTGAGCCTTTGTGTGCAGCACACCTACCTGGAGCATCCCTAAGTTGGGTTCCTTTTTGTTGTACTACTGAAGGGCAGATCTCTTCATTTTGCTGAATTCTCCACTAATTTTAAATGAGTTAAATTATGGTCCAGTGTAGGGTTTTTCCCCTCCGAATACTTTGTTGGCAAAAGAATAACTGTCCAGACTCTCCTGTGACACTGTAAGCCTGTAAAGTGCAGCAGCTCAGGAGCGAATTCCCTTTTGGGGACAGTGACTGTTGTCCCCTCACATTCTCTAATGTGTGTTTGGTGCCTAGATCCTATAGTAATGGAGAGATTGCTGGAGGGAGGGAAAGCTGGGGGAAAACTCGAGCCATCTGACTTATAGGCCCAGCAGGGTCTTACCCACTATTTCTGTGGTCATTATTTGTACAGTGCAGCTACCCAACCTTCACTTGTACACCTGCAGGATCTGAGTGCCTGCCTGCCTGGGCCTTTCTGCAGTTCTCCCCTATCCACTGTACTCCTCCAGATTCTGCTCCCTGGGTTCTAAAATATGCACTGATGCTTAGATTTTAACTATTACAATTGTCTGAGAGCAAAGCAGTGGCAGCCTCTCCAGCTACTCCCTGTCTGAGGGAGAGGATGAGAGAGGCTCATGAAATAGCCTGGTGCTCCTGCTCCAAGATGGGAAGGGATTTCTCTTCTTTGGACTGTTTTTGTATTATTTAGGAGATAATGGTGTTAATGAACTGTGTTTGTGGCTGTGCTCGAGGCTCAGCCGTATGAGGAGGAGTGAATGGAACACTCCCTCAACTAAATAAAATCAAACATCTGTATGTGCTTTGGCTTGTCTTTCTAGAATGGGCCTAGGGTGTGGGGTGGGTGTGTACAGGGAGGTGAGAGAGCAAGCTTGAGTAAATGTTGGCAGATCTCCTCGCCCTCCCCCTGTAATACGGGCTACATGAGGGATGCTTTGGGCCAGGACTGTGTTCTGATTAGGGTGTTCTCAAATCACTAACTACTCCCTTTTTATCTGATTCTTTCCTACTGGCTTATGCTGGGGCATGCAGCTTACTGGAATCAGGCAGCAGTGAGTGGATAACTGGGTGCACCAATGGATAGAGCAATCCACTTATTAGCAAACTTCCACCCTTGCCTTAGAGCCGAAGCTGGCTTGATTGGTCTAGGGCTGGGCCAGGCCAACTCCTATGTATTACACGTAAGTTGTAACTAGCAGATGGAGTAGGTTTGGGCTGTGTCAGTAAACTGCAAGAAAACATTAAGCCACCAGCTGGGGAAAGCGATGCTCTGCTGTTTGTGGTTCCTAGAGAAAGTTTAGTTGGAACTAAGGAGGAGAGTTAGAGGTAGCTTACGATCAGCTGCATTAAATGGATGTTGTAATGATCTCAAAAACAAGTGAGTTAAACCCTGGAATGTCAGAATTAGGTTTGAACTGCAGCATGAATTTATTGGATTTTTAATTCTTGGGGGTTGGAATGATTATAACCTCCCTCTAATGTAGTTTAGGGTAAATAATTGTGTGATATTTAAGCCATTTAGCTTCATCCATGTATGTAATTGTCTACATGAATTGGAGCATTTCAACACCTGATATCGATATCACACCACTGCTTGAAAGAGAAAGTAGGATAAGAATTTGAAAGGTGGGAGACTATAGGGACCTACATAAAAGCCTTGGACACTGTGGAATGATGCACAGAACCCCTGGTGCACGGTTGAAAGGAGTCCCTGAAATAAGGAGAGAGGGGAGGATGGCATGCATGCAGCTTGCAAAGGGATTGGAGAGATCTGTGCAATGAGCTTGGCTTATAGCCACATGAACCATCCTGGTGTAATTTGTGAATTCCAAACCAACTTGGTGTTACCAAGTGGTATTTCTAATCAATAGACAATAAGTGTTGTCAAGACAATGCAAAGCTGGACACTCCACCCCACTTTTTGCTTCCTCACTGTCATCTCAGTTCCCACTGTTTCTCATACCTCCTTATGCTCCCTGGTGTGCACACCAGTTTTCTCCTCCCTCCTGCATATTACCCTGGGCGCATACACATCCTAGTTTCCCCTCCCTCCTGCTCTAGCTGTTGGAGGGATCAGCTGCAGTGTGTAACTTTTCAAAAGATAAATTCAGAGGGTCTCTATTGGCTGCTATTTTCAGTAATGGCAGAAATATCTTGTTTGGAAATGGCTGCTACTTCCCAAGTTTCTCGATGGGACTGATGGCACAGCTAACAATAAGCAACATTCTATCTGTGAGCAACAAGCAGCCTTCTCAAAATGGCTCCCAGCTGAGGGGCACTGACTCAAGCCTCTGTGAACAATGGGAAATGGCATTTCTTTGGAATCCTGAGGGAGACCATTGTGTGCTTCTGCTAAAGAAGAAACTTTCAGCTATAAAGGAAAAACTAGAGGGATGACTGTTAATCCTAAAAGGAAATATTCAAGTATAGATGATGCACAAGATTTCAGTGAGTCTTAATGATAAGGGTAGGGATGTAAAATCCCATTTAAAATGTTAACCACTTAAAGTTTAACTAGTTAATTAGCCTGCCACATTGTGCTGTAGGCAGGGGGCTGCTGGAGCAGCCCTGTGGCATGGTGGGCTCAGCTGGGCTGTAGCAGTCACTCCACCCATGGTACATAGCAAATTGGGAACTGCTCAGGCCGGGTACCAGTTGCCAGTAGAAATTACCTAGTTAATTGATTACCTGTTTACATCCCTAATAGGGGATGGTTTGAGAGTTTGTTACTGTGCTTTATTATTGGGTGCAAAAAGTCTTAACTGCTAAACTTCTGAAGGGCCCATTTTTAATTGACTAAGTTCCTAAGAAAATAGTTTACTTTTAAATTTTCAGAAAATTCATTCCTTACTCAAAGTACTGTAAGTTGTGGAGAAACAATCTGTATTTTGCATACATAACCAAAAGACTGAATCCCTTTTGAGTTGAACTTAGCTTAGTAACAACTGTATAGTCAAGTGCTATCTGTAATTCTGTAGGGCAGTGGTGTGAAACCCGTGGGTCGGGGTTGTGGCTGCCTTCCTGGGAGGTCACAGTGCTTGGAGCTGGTTAACCACTTTTCCTGGCTTCTCAGGAGGAGTGGCAGGAGAGCGGCCATGACCTGACAAAGGGTCCAGTGTTTTTTTTTTTTTTTGCTTCACTAAATTTGGCAGCCCTCTTGGGGTCGTGAATAAAAAACGGTTGCACACCACTGTTGTAGGAGATAGCATTAATGCAACTTTATTTACAGCTGTTCTTGCTGCCAATGGAAAGGTTTCTAGTGGCGTGTTACACTGAAGCTTAGGGTCTCAATGTTTGGATTTCTGCAACATCAATACAGGCAGTCCCCGGGTTATGTACAAGATAGGGACTGTAGGTTTGTTCTTAAGTTGAATTTGTATGTAAGTTGGAACTGGTACATATTGTAGGGGAAACTCTAGCCAAACATTTCTCCAGAGCTCAGTTTTATTCTCCCACACCTCACTTCCCTCAGTCCTTTATTCTCAAGCTGAGGTGTCTGCTGAGAAAAGCCGCTCTGCGTCTCCCTGGTCTGCTGGAGGGGGGGCACTAACTTCGTGTCTCCTTGGTCTGCTAGGGGAAAGCAGCTAGTGCGGGGTTGCCTCACCCCGTTTGTAAGTAGGGATCCGATGTAAGTTGGATCCATGTAACCCGGGGACTGCCTGTATTCCTTCTCTGGTCACCAGGACACAACTGACTGTGGCTCTCTGGAGCAGGGGGGTAGTAGAATCCATTGTATCACCTAAGTCCCACCTGTCTTTAATTTGCTCTATATGCATTGTTTTAGCTTCAGACATTAATTCTACTCCTCTCTGCCACACTCCAGGCTGTGCTCAGCTCTCATGAGGCTAAGATACTATATACATCATGACCTCCTATGACACACCCAAAATAAATCTGGCTGAGGAAGTCTCTGCTTTCACCTCAGCCACCTGGAGAGTACAGCAGACAGCATTGATCTGTGACAGCAGTGGGCAATAATATTTACAAGGGAACCACTTAATGAATTTTGGTACATGGTCATGGGCCAGCTCCACCACCCCTGGAAGGTGCAGGACTGGGATGGAGCTGGGGCCTAGTCTCCCCCTAAAGTTGTCTGGGGACAGGCAGGCTTTGAGGTAAAAACACAGCAAAGGGCTCCTGGCCCTGCCACTACCATGTTGCCTGACAGCTTTAGGGGGAAAGTTCTGGTAATTAACAACACGGGTACACCATTTTGGAGAAGTCCAAGCAACAACATGGACTTCATCTTGGCTGTCCTCTTCCTTCCTCCCCTGAGGGTGCTTTCCTGCTCTTTATGAGGTTTTGGTGGGAAAGCTAGACAGACACATGACCTAGGTTCTGCCTAGCAACAGCAGCTTATTTAAGGGCTGCCCCTTCGGTTCCAAGGGGATGCCCTTCCGAGTGACAGAATCCAGAGCTACTTCGAGGGGTATGCCAGCACCACGCATATAGACTTCAGTTGTGGGAGGGTGAACATATCTGCATGCAAGAGGTGTGCTACCAGCTGCCACCCCATATCATTGAGGACATACACCCAGGACGGTGCTGAGAAGGGAGAGGGAAGGTTCACCCCATATCATTGAGGACATACACCCACGACGGTGCTGAGAAGGGAGACCATTGCCAGAGCAGATCTTACACAGCCCAATTGCTCTTTACCTGTGATACTATCTGGAGGCAGAATCTGGAGCTGTCACACTGCTGAGAGGGACCGCAAGCTCCAGGCTATTGTAATGGTTTCATAATACTCCATTTCCTTACCTGGGTCCTATCCTGGGGAAGGGAACTCACCTGAGTAGCACCACTTTTATGTTACTTACCTTTAGTTGTGTGGATCCTGGTTATATCTATGTTTGTTACTTTGTGGTTTACCTTTCATCTACTTTATTTGAACTGTTAAATGCCCTACTTGTCGGAAAAGACAGAGGCCCAGGTAGCTGCTGGCTCCTGGCAGCATTTAGACCCCAATGGGGTGTGTGTCAGCTGTTGGGCCGGTCGCAGGGAGAGGGGCAGAGGGCAGCTAGCAAGCTAGGGAAACTCAGCCATTTGCTCCACAGAGATTGCGGGGGGCGGGGGCACATGCAAGAGGACATGTAGTACGGGAATGGGTCAGCTGGGCCTGAGGGTGAGGGAAGGCGTGATGGGAGCCCCGGCCTGGGGTCACTTCCTGGCCCATGCAGCCTCTGGGCTGGGCCTGGTTTGTTTTGGCAGATCCTGATTCTGCCAGCCAGGGCCTGCAGGGCTGCTCTTATGTCTGTGCCCCAGCCCCGTCCGCCGGGGAGGGGAGGGGGTGAGGCTGGGACAGGAGCATGTGTAGAACCCAGTGTGTGTGGCTGTTATGGCCATGGCCCCATCCCTGCACATGCATCAGTGAGACTCTGGTGCCCCAGGGGCTGAATTGAGGCCTGCTCTGGCGGTGCTGCTGCCCTGGCATGGTGCAGCCTGTGGAACTTGCGCCCGTGTAGTCAGGCGGCATCGCAGGACACGGTAACTGCGGTAAGTGGGCAGGGCAGCCTAGCAGTGAGCAATAGGGTTGCCAGGTGTCTAGTTTTGAACCGGACAGTCCAGTATTTGAGCTTTCTGTTCAGGAAACAAATTAAGGAAATAGAAATGTCCAGTATTTTCTAAATAAGAATGTAAGGTAGACTGATGTAATGTCAAGTGTGTCCGGTATTTTTGTTGAAGCCATCTGGCAAGCCTAGTGAGCAAGTGCCCATCCGGTGGCTGCCTAGCACTGTAGTCCCAGCTCCATGAGGTGGGACTTGTGGGCCAACACTTGCAGTGTAGCAGAATCCAGG